TAAACAAAAGCACCTTTTTTATTTCCAATATTGCAGGAGGTCGATATTGGGAGTCATATAATTATTATCTCACAATTCCAACACATGCTTCCACTAGTGCATTACAATATATCTTGAATTAAAGACTCAAAATACTGATCCTCAAAAACAAAGAAACAAGAAAAGACACCCAAATTACTTTAAATCCAAACATCATCACATATACTAATATTTTAACCGTTACAACTCTGACAGCAAACAAAATATCAAGCAGCCGATGGAGCATGGTGATGATCTCCTTGAACTGGAACCACACCATCCTCACTGAGTTCTGACATTGAGATCAACGGCACAAGGTCGCCACATTCAACCTTGACGACGTTCTTGCAGTCTAGAGACTCATCCTCGTAAATATCCCACCATTTCTTCACTAGCAACTTTATGTCTTCCCTCTCCATGTTCTCTTCCTTCCCTGTGTACCTCCATGGCTTTGATCCCTATATCAATTTATGAAATTCAACCAATTATAACAAAAGCAAAAAATAATTTAATCTTAACATTTAATTTAGCTAGATGTCAAATGCTATACATAAATAGTAAAAATCTTATTACTTTTATCTGATAAAATATATTTCAAAAGTTAGGTCAAACAAACACTTAATTATAAAAAAAATTTCAATTAGAACATACCGCAGCACAATAATGAACAACCTTAACTTTGTCAAGATCTACATTTTCAGGATGGCGCCAGAGCATGGCTAAAACAAAATTGCAAACGGAAGGTATCGGCTTGTAAATCTTCCTGAAGAACATATTCAGGAAATCCTAACAACAGAAGAAAAAAAAAATAATGGTAAGTCCAAATAAAATCAATTGGAAGTCTTTAAAGTTCAAGAATATTAATTAACTTAGACTTTTTATTTTCCATTACCTGCTCAGCAAATGAAGTAGGAGGGGTGACTTTGAGGGTTTCCAGGAGATTGGAATAAGTCAAGAGATCAGGCTCGAACACGAACATGCCCGCGTTGAAGTAGAGAGGCGGTGGTGAACCCATTTCGACAGGCCACTGGACTTTCTCCGGACACTGCTGGCAGTAGCCAATACTGTACTGCGGCGACTGCGACCATGTTTTCTCACAGAAACAGTCCATCACGGCGTAGAAATACCCTGCCGGTAAGTCAAAGAGGTGGTCAATATTGTCGAACACTTGGATGTCACCGTCTAAATACACCATTCTGTCATACTCCACAAACTACAGACCAATTGAAAACAAACACGTTTGTTAATTGCATGGTTGTGACATGCAAAAAAGACTAAATCCGGAATTTAGAAAGCTTGTTTTTGCAAAAAAAATTTACCTCCCAAATGCGAAGCTTTGAGTAGTTGATAACATAGTAAGCCATGGCAAACTGTGTTTGGTTCTCCGGGGGATAAACCGGCTGGATCTCTCGGACAATACATCCCTGAGATTCAAGAATCCAACGGTGGTCCTCTGGAACATCGGGCAGAACAGCCACCACGAGAGGGTACTTAGATTTGGCCTTTCTTAAACCCTTGACCAAACCCACTACCCCCTTCACGTAGTCTCCGTTTCCGGCCAAGAACGTGACGTACGCATTCTTTGCCACCTCCATGGCCGCCGCGTCAGACATTATAGCAGTAGGAGGCATTTTTGAGACAAAAGAAAAGCTTGAAGAATGATTCAAGAAAGCAATGTGGGTTGATGAAGTGAAGGAGGAGAGTAAGAGGGATTTATATAGAAATGGCAGGACGGGATTCTTTCCGAAGATCTCTGATTTCCTTCTCGACACGTGGCACAATCAGATGGAGCCCCACTGGACCACTACAGTTGCATATTCTAAATGTTTATATGGCACATCAACGGTATTTGTCAAATTAGTATAAGAAGCCTTTTACAAGGAGATGTGATTACTAATTAAGTCATGAGTAATGTGGCTTTCATGATATTGACGTAATTTGCCACGTGTCAAGATTAGTGCCATTTTTGGCTAATGGCTGTTTAACCTGGTTTAGGTAAGTTTAATTTGATATGTCGGTAATTAAGTTACAAATAATTATGAAATCAACACATGATTTTCTTTTTGAAGAATTATTGTAGGACTTAATTAGGTTGTTTTTAAGTTGGGGAGTATTATTCTTTTTACTTTCCTTAGTTATCTTCACATTATTTTGTTTGATTTTCCTTATTCCTTATTTGCCTTCTAAGAATCGTTTTGATATATATATTTGTTTCCTAATTGGAGTCTTTACCCTTTCAATAAGGAAACAATTATTCACCCATATATACTCCTAATCAAATCTTATTATTAAGATTGACTCATTTCAGTTTTTAAAATGAATATAAATCAGCAAGCATCTATAGATTCATTGTGATATATATTATAAAATTTTGAAATATTGTTACTATATCAACTCCTAAAATAGATTCAAATCATAGTTATATGTAACATATTTTTTGAAATATTATTATTGTGTCAATTCCTAAAATAGATTTTTGAATAGATTTTTTTAATTGAGGAATACTGCTCACACTTGCTGTAGGACCACTTTGTATCGAGTTATTTTTTTAAAAAAAAATAATACCATACACTAAACAGTTGTGAAGTGCCCTTAGCATTTCTTTTTTAATTTTATTTTGTCAAATTAGTGGCATATATATTATGGGTAGTGTTATAGGGACAATTTTTTTGTCTCACATTTTTATACAACTTTCACGTGTTATTAAATAAATGAATGAATTTAATATCATAAGTTTCACATGAATTAAAAGAATTAATCATTTTAATGATATGTCAAGTTGTACAAAAAAATGAGATAAAAAAATTGTATAAAAATCATTTCCCATATATTATAGATACTAGAAATATTGAAATCATTATTAATAGTAAATTTGTTTAATTAGCGAGATATTAGAATGCCCATTTATTTTACTTAAAGATTAAATCTAAAATATATTTATTTAAGTCAAAGTAAGAATATAAGGTTAATACTAATGATTTAAATAATTTAATGATAATGTTTACACTTAAAATAAAACTAACGGGATGAGATTATGCGTTAAGTTGGGACCCAGCTATTAAATCGATGTAAAGAGCGTTAGCAAGATGGGTTGGTTTGGGTCAGCTTGAAACTTTATAGTCCAGATGGAATTTATGGTGGGCTGAACTTGCGTGGCAAATGATAAGATGAATTACTTAATAGTTGAGTTTGATTTAAATTAGAAAGTTGAGAGTTTTTAGGAGAAGTGTACTACTAGGGTTTTATTTTAATTAAAATTAAATTAAAATTGTCAACTGCCAGACATAAAGAAACTGCTTCAGACATGGAGCAGCCACTATCCGTGAAGAAAAGGAAAACAGAAAAACAGGGGGAAAAATTGGCTCTATACTACTTGCTCTACAGAAAAACTGCCCAGTGCCCATGCAACTTCAATTTTCAGACCTTCTTTTTTAGATTTCAGTATGATTTACAAATTAGAATGTAAGATTTGCTCTTGTTCTTAGATCTAGTTTAGTTTTTTCCATCCTTGTTTGTATTTTCCTTCAAAGATTGCAACTTTTGTTAATTTTTAAGGATTCAGAAGCAATTCAACTTTATAAACGGGTCAACTTCATTGATTTGATTAGTTTTTCTATCTTTTATGGATTCATCTATATTATTTATTTATGTGAATGAGTTGAATGTTTTCTACCTTCTCTTTTTCATTTTTGCACAACTACCAGACTTTGTTTGACTCTAATTTCTAGGTTAGGTTTAAATTTACAAGTTTCTAGACTTTGATCTATCCATAGATTTTCCTTTAGTTTTAGCAATCAAGTAATTTAATTATTTTTATTTTAAATCTGTAAGTAATTAGTTTAATAATTATGGATTACATTGTTAAAATCATTATCTACAATTTTACACAATTGTTTGTCTACAAATTTATTTCTATGTAATGTTGTTTTCTTTTATTGATTTCGTATTAGGATAATTCGCTTTAATATATTACATTTAATTTAAGATTTGTAGGTTTTGTTACATTTTAGTGGTTTTGAAATTCTTAGAGATGTCTAAGGTAATTAGTAAGTCATTTTGCAGAACTCCACCTTTTGTTTTGTAATGTCATTTGGAGCGCAGTTTGGTTCACAGACGTTCTTTCCTTTTGGAGGTTGACCATTGAAAAAGAGAAGAATCGTTTGGAAAATCCTATTTTTTTGTTTTTAGACAAAGCAAGTGATATGCCTTATTCTCAAACTCACATGGTTAGCGTTGATTAAGGATTTTTGAGAAAATAAATAATTACATGACCTGCGGATGAGATGAGATAAGAAATATGAGATAATTGTCTTTTATTATACAATCAAAAGAATATATATATATATATTTATATATATGAGGCCAATATGAGTTACAAAGACAGCAAAGTGAGATTCCGATTTCCGATCCCATCCGATCCTAGCTGTTTTCTGTTCAAATTTGTGAAGGACATTCAATTGAAATGTTACTTCGCGTGTAAGGAGAAAAAAAAAAGAAGAAGAAAATATTCAAAGTTGAAAGAAAAGGAAAAGGGAATAAGAAAAAAGAAAAGAAATTCCATACGATTCAAACACTGCAGCCTTTCACCATCGACCGCCATCAAATGTATTCAGGGCAAAAAAATTTTTAGGTGTTAAGGTTAAAACTTGAATTTTACCTTTTATATAGTTAATGTTTTATCGTGATCTTTAAAAATTATCAGAGAAAATTGATTTAAATATATATACATATATATATATACATAAAGAAAAAATGTATATCAATTCTTACTCTAAAAAATAATTAAAGTTTTAATATTAAATTATGTTATTTTATTTAATTAAAATTAAAATTAAATTAAAAAATTATCTTATTAAATATTAATATTTAAATTTAAAAACTGATTATATTTTTTAATATAATCAATTGATATTTTAATTTTTAAATATATATTGAGATTTTAATCATTTTTAAAAATGAAGATGGATACATATCAACCTTTATATATCAATTGAGTCAAAAATACTTTAAAAATCCAATAAAAACACAGCACTCATTGAGCAAGTCCGGTTAATAAATTATTGTCGCAACATGAAAAGTTGAAAATGCGTTCGTTCAAAAGGCTAGCTTTTAGGTTTTGCACGAGGAAAAAAACATTCACTTTGGCATTTTGAATATCATTTTCAGTTTTATTCTTTGATTCAGCAATATTGATTTGGACTTTGGAGCTTGGAGCATTGCACTCGTATCATGGTAACAACTGTATATTCCATTGCCAAAAGGAAAAAATGGTAGGTACGAGAATAATTCACAGGCAATTTTTATCCAAAAAAAAAAAAAGTGTGACAGTGAATTAATCTTCGGTTTAGTAGTAAAAGTATTTGTTTTGGTGAACTTAAGCCTACATTTTTTCAATGAAAGATAAGTTATTTACATTTAGATTAAGAAATTTGTAAGGAATATTTTTTAATATTTATGGTCAAAAACTAGTGATTGTGCGTTTTGAGACTATTGTCTCTTCGTAGGATCTTAAGGGGAGGGTACCCCCAACTTTGACTTAGTATATTTAAACAAATTAATTTCCTTAAAACCCTCAATTCTGATTTATTACATTCAAATAAATTAATTTCCTTAGGTGTTAATTTTAAAATTTAAACATTAAATCTAATTTATAAAATAACATTTGTTTATCAACAGATTAAAATTTTAAAAAAAATACCTTTTTATAAATTAAAGCTTTGTTTAGAAGTATTTTATACTCTACTTTATCTAATAATATAAATTTCTTGTAAATAAATAATTTTATTTTATATTTTGTATATTTTTTAATAATTTTAATTAATATTTTATATATTTTTACAATTAAAAAAAACAAAAAGGAGAAAAACTTATTGTCGGAACGCAGTATAGCATTCAAGCAAAGTCTAATTTGTTTTGGTCTGTGAAATACATGTTATTCATCCTAAAATTAAATAATTTATATCAGTGACCTCTTAGCACGAGTAGAAAGAATTCGATTTTTCTTAAATAAGATATCAAATTTGAATATTATGAATGAAAAAATAAACATTGAAAGAACTTTCTCTTTATGGAGTCTGATGCAATTTGATTTTAAAGTAATAAGATTCTAATGTAACTTTCGGATAATATAAGGTTAATCTAAAAAAATAATTTATTAGAAATTATTTCTTCATTGACATCTTAAAAAATCAAATTTTAATCCACTAAATCAAAGTTAATAGAAATATTACTGTGAATATTATTATTGCCAATATACAATAATTATGAATTTGCATTTTATGATGAAATATTAATTATTATTATTATTATTATTATTGCCAATATACTTGCTTGAGATCGCCTCTCCATGATTGAGTAGAAGATACCCCACG